TGCTGATCTTGAATACAGTCTGCTACAGCGATCAGCGATATTTGTGTTTCCACTCCATTGAAACAGACCATGTAAATTAGGAGGCATAATTAAATGAGTTTTTCTAGATGCAAGAGGAGCTGGCAGCTACATGCAATTTTAATTGTCTTTGTGAATAGCAAGCCTGGTGGAACCAAAAAAAAAAGTGTATTTGGTGAACCATTTCAAATGGAGAAAAACAGTTCAGACAATTTTATAGCACTACTTAGCATTTAGCGTTATTTAGAAATATTTTTGGAGATAAAGTAACCGGAACCTGAGTGAATTATATGCTGAGACAGACTAGTCAATGTGTTATACTGTTATGCTAATTAATATGACTCAGGAAAATACACACAAAACACAAGAGATAAAAAAATAACTTTAATTATTTAGAAGATGAAATAGCTGGACCTCGTTTACAATCCAGCAGAGCCTCATGGGATTTGTAGTGTGTGAAGGGAAGTGTTGGCGAATTGGAGCTTCATTTAGCTTCCTGTCCTGCAAACAGCAGATTCTAGCATGGGATTGGAGGCGACACGTGTCCGGGGGGAACTGTGGCAAGGCCATTCATCAAGCTCCGGATGTGGCGCCGTCAGACCCGGCAAAGTTGTGATAATGAGTCCCTCACTTCGTGTTGTTATCCTTTTCATCAAGACGTTGAAAGTTCTGTTTTACGAGCCCCGGTGCCTTCATGTGAAGGCGATGGGCATATACTCTTTGAGTCACACTTCTGCTACCCCGCTTATTTTTATACTGCTAGTCAAACTGTGTGATTGATGGGAGAATGAGCAAGTTGGAGATGAGAATGATTCTCACTAGAGGCATGTGACACAGCAGTGCGACACTCATAGAGCCGATATACCCTAACCGATTTAAACCCTCCTAGCAAGCAGGATTCTGTGAATTCATTCAGAATCACCTAATAATTCCATTCGTCTTCTAACTGCTTATGCTGGTCAGGGTCACAGGGGGTCCTGGAGTCCATCCTAGCCTGCACAGGGTACAGGGCTGGGCAGCACCCTGAATAAGGTGCCAGTGCATCACAGGGCACATACGTAGTCATACTCCGGGGGTTTTGGAAACACCAGCTAGCCCACCCTGTGCAACAGAGAGAGAGAGAGCATGCATGCTGCTCACACACAGAGCAGGTGGGATTTGAGCCACTGTACCACCAGAATCACCTTATGGTGTAGATCGGGATAGGACTGGACTTTACTGATCCCCCAAAGGAGAAATTCCCTTGTTATGACAGTGGAACACATTAACAACAACAACAACTGCATTTCAAACCATCCATCACCGTAACCGCTTAATCCCAACTGGGGTTGTGGGGGGGACCGGAGCCTAACCCGGGAACAATGGGCGCAGGCGGGAACCAACCCTGGGCAGATGCCAACACACCGCAGGGCGCACACACTCACACACACACACACACTCACACGCACATAATTACGGGGCCAACTTAGAGTCGCCAATAAACCTATCCTGCACGCTTTTGGACCGTGGGAGGAAACCGGAGCCCCCGGCTGAAACCCACGCGAACACGGGGAGAGCATGTGACCTCCACACAGGAAGGACCCGGGACCGAACCCAGGGACCAAACCCAGGGCCTTCTTGCTGTGAGGCAGCAGCGCTATAAATATAGAACAAGAATAAAAATGTATTACTGAAGATAGAAATATTGAAAACTGAATTATACAGCTTATGCACATTCTTATGCACATACCATTATTGCACATGTGCTAGATATTAGCATTTTGAAAGAGCCTGCCACATAGGTAATGTCACACTGGGTCACAGTAATGTCATATTGCACATCAATAAATAAGGAGGAACAATATTGCATTTCAGTAAAAAGATAGAAACAGAACGAAACAGCAGCGAAACACAGAAGATCCGGCAGCAGCTTCATCTCTGAGGATGGTTCTGGTTGAGCTTCTTGAGAAGGCAGCCCATGTGACCTATAACCCGTAACCGAAACGTGGGACCAGTCAAAGGATAACGGAGGGGGGAGAGGCAGCAGACAGTTCAAAAACAGGACACCATATGCCACAATGCACCTGTAACACCTTCTTCTTCCGGCCCGACACCTGTTTGGGAGGTACCTTAAATAAATCATAATAGCATTGCAATCATTAATCTATGATGATTCCTTTTGGTTATATCTCTTCACAGCCAGGATAAACATCTGTCTGCAAGTGACAGGATACCTGAATAAATATTATGTAATGTTATCACTTCAGAAAGTTTTTGCTCCTCTAATGCTAAGATTATTTTATTTATAAGAATTTATTAGGGGATGTGACGTTTTCGCCATTGTCAGAGCAGAAATCGCTTTAAACACCTTTCCGTCACACCTGTATACCTTCATCTGGACGATGTTTCCCGCGCAATGGTTCGGCTCGTCACCGAAAGACAAACATCCTCAGATGTAGAAAGAAATTAAATTCAAAATGAATGGATTAGTAGATATTTTTTTCATTTGCTCGCTCTTTTAAAATCTGCCCTCATTCCTCCTAGCTGCTGTTTTTACTGTTTACTATTTTTTTTCTTACATGGATACTTGTTGCTGGGGTAGGGGTTTAGGTAGAACAATTTCTGTAGACAGAAATTGTGTATAGAATGTAAAAGAATTTAATAAACACTTTGTAATGTTCATACAGCTGTAGCAGTCCTGGTATCTCACCAGGGGTGTCTGGTTCTTCATGCCCTGAACTGGATAAGTGCTTATGGAAGATGGATAATCTGGAAACTTGCATCAGATGATGTTTATGCAAATGCATGCCACATAATACAATAAAACTTTTATAAATATGTGAAACATGCAGCACGTTTTTCAGCAGGAAGCACTCTGATGTAAACTTAATGACGTATAACATGCTTACAGATCATTTTCTGTTAGGCTTGCAAGTGTTCAGAAATTAGGGACATATTTTTATTACATTTTGTTGTTTTGGGCATTGTCGGGTCTGTTTCAGCCAGTCTGTGTATATACGAATTTTGGTGGGTAATGGGGTGACTTTATCTCCATGGTTTGAAATTGAATTCTGCGGAATGAATGAATTGTAAAGGGATTCTAAAACTGAAATATACATCACATAAAAATGGTTAAAGTAAGATGAGGGGAAAAACAAACATAAAAAGTAATAAATCTTGCTTATTTTAATGCAAAAACTGGAAATGTCTTTCAGTGAAGATGACTGTAGGGTCAGAGTATCCCCATTAACTTCTTATGAGAAAATTAGAATTAAATAAATAAATAAATAAATAAAGACATACATACTCCAGTTCCCCCCCGGTCCAAAAACATGCTGTGGTTAACTGGAGTTACCAAATTGCCCATAGGTGTGAATGGTATGTGTGTGCATGTGTCTGTGTGTGTGTATGTCTGTGTGCCCTGCAATGAGTTGGAGTCCCACCCTGGGTTGTTCCCTGCCTTGTGCCCATAGACTGCAGTCTCCCCATGGCCCTGAACAGGACAAGTGGTTACAGAAAATGGATGGATGACATAGTAATTATTTTACACTTCTGCCTGTTCCCTATATATATCCTTCCAAATACAGTACTGTGCAAAAGTCTTAGGCAGTCAAAGAAAATGATGTTTAAATGATTTTTATGTTGCTGTAAAACTATGATATGTCTGTCAACCTGTGTCAGTTTAGCCATTTCAAAACCTCTCCTAAAATGAAAACCTCAGTATTTGCAGCGACCGTCCGACATTTCCATGCATTATTTGATTCTCCCACTAACTGACTTTGCTTGGCTAATCAAAAACCTCATTGAGTTATTTAACTAATTACATTGTCTTTAACTGTCCTCACACAGTACAGTATATTTATCCATTCATTTTCTGTAACTGGTTGTCCTATTCAGAGTCATGGGGGGGGGGGGGGGGCAGTCAGTCATGGGGGGCAGAGCCAACAGGCACAGGGCAGAGAACACCTCACCATGGGGTGTGGGCACACACACTCACACCTTTGGGCAATTTGGCAACAACGATTAACCTGAGCATGTTTTCATATAGTGGGGGGGGGGAACTGCAGTGCCTGGAGGACACTCCACGACGACACAGGGACAGCATGCAAACTCCAGACACATGGAGTCATGGCGGAGGTCCCAGAGGTGTGAGGCCACCGTACAGCCCCTTAATTTCTCTCTCATGGAAAGTATACTATTACTGCATGTGGCAATGGGAAGCATTTTTTTCCTCGCTTATGTGCCTTTAAATTGCAAGCTATATATGATGTCTGGCCAGCGGTCTGTGCTCTCACCATTGAGGGACCTTCCTTAACTCTTAGATAACCATTAGTTATACTTTTTCAGTGACTCTAATATAAACATTCATGAAAAATACGACAATGGCCTGTGGTCACATCACAGGCTGCATGTCACTCAGTTGCATCACACTGCTTTGACTCTACTTTTAACACAATCTTAACATGCTGTCATTTTGCCAAGCGCTTCATTTTTTGTGAATATCCTGACGACTTTAAAAGGAAGAAGTTCAACAATAATAAGGAAATGATTTCAATAATAACCAAAAGAACTTATTTTCTCTTAACGGTCCATTCAGTGTATAGCTACAATGGATATAAACTTTTCTCCTTATCGTGTTTGTAGTCACCTATTATTAAATTAAATTAATTCAATACGTTTTTTTGGTGAGCTTGATTGCATTCTTTGGATATTTTTGCAAAAAAAATCAATCAATATTTCTGTCATTCTTTTGATCCGTGCAAGGTATTACATTATAAATGTGTTATTCAATTCATTCGAAAGCAATTATTGTTGCACCCTTGGCTGCACGTTTGAATATTGGTTGTAAAAGTTGATTAAATTGGTTATACTCAGATGTTTACATTGTTTAGTCCTGACTACATCTTTTTAAAGTTGCTTTACCTCTTGTGTTTGGGGAACATGTACAAGAAGCGGAGTTAAAAAGAAAAACTCGCCCTATAATTAAGCAGAGCCGTCTGGAATCGGGGGCTGGGGATATTGCGGTCCCGCTTGAGACCGCTGGGTATCTCGCCAGGGACGCTCTCGGTTCGTATTGACTTGTGATGCCGTTGCAGGGAGCGATCACGGGTACCTCTCCGGCATTTCTCTCTCCGATGAACTTACTGGCGCCTTGACGCGTTTGTTTTTCCGATGCCCAGCCGCTCGACTTTACCGCAGAAGTTTCGTTACCTGAAACGGAATAGATTTACTCCTCCGGCTATGTATCTCCATCATCTGCATCCTCTACAAGTTTCAATTTAAATGCGACTTGGACAATTAAAAAAAAAAAACTCGTTTACTATGATGGTCGATGTTGCTTAGACCCGAAGCAAACACCGATCGCTGGGAAAATACCAACCCCCCTTTTTTTTAATGCACGCGATCTACCTGGAGGTGAAGAAGCGGATTAGGAGATGTACTCTTATTAAATAGGCTGCCCGCGCCATAGCGTTATTGCCGAAAGGGATTTCGCCGCACGCCTGACTAGCGATCCGTATGCGAAGATGAGCGTTTGCGGGGACTTCGCCGTGTCCTGGAGGTGCCTGGTACTCCTGTCTCTCAGGCTGCTCTTTCTTGTACCCGCAGGATTGCCAGTCCGCAGCCAAGGGGACTCCCAGTCAGATAACAAAGTGATGGACAATATCACAGTCCGGCAAGGGGAGACCGTGTTTCTCAGGTAAGGTGCGGGTGAATTGCATATTTATGCTGCCGTAAGGCTGCATGCTTAAAACTGCTGTTCTTGCCAGTTGTTTGGAAACAAGGTATTAATCGCTTTAAATATTACTTCGGATGACGCATATCTTCATTTTAAATAGTTTTTATATATCTATATTTCATCTCCACCCCTAAAATATAGCTGGACTTTGAACTTGCGCCCTAGTTAAAAAATGCAGCTAATTCGCAAGCTTGAATAGAAGTAAATATATTTTGATTTAAGCGGACAGATTTTAGTTCTAAGACTTTATTCGAGGTGAAGCAGACAGAATGATCCACAAATGTTTTCTTACGGGAATTAAGGGCAGAGAGTGCATCCTGCACTGCATAGCCTACTTTTTTTCGGGAGATAATGGTTAAGCTGGCCGATTTTGAACAACCCAGAACCTAATTATTATGTACCTTAAGATAAGTGGCCTATATAATACGTCATTCTTCGTAAGAGATAATTACCAGCAATCAGGTATCTGATTTTAAAGACACAGTACATAACCTGCATGTCTTATCACAAATGAATATGCTTTAGATTAAACCCCAATCACAGGCAGAAGCTTATACTGGATGATGTCAGCAATGCTTGAGATTATACTCTGAGAGCCCGATTTTAAAGGTAAACAATGCTGTTCTTGTGAGAGATGCTTTTCATATATAAGGAGCTGCGGGAAATTGTGTTTGCAAACGCTGGAATTAGTTTTGGCCTCATGCAGATTGTGAGCTGTTTTTGGTTGGCTTCTAGCAGAGAAATCCGCAGTAATCTTATTTAATGTTATGTTAATGTGCTTAAGTGTAAATTGATATCAAAATGGTCCTACCTTTTGTGTAAAGAGAGGAGGTGTTTATATTGCATTGCCTACACTGTGAGCAGAAAATATACCCTATAGGTCTTTGGAAAATGTCAAATGGTCATTTGACATCAACAGTTGCTGCTGCCTTTGGAGTTTGACACCTATGCCCTCAGATTGATACTATTCGCAGATTTTAGCAAACACCGCTAGATAACTTCCTGATAGTCTTTCTTTTGTTTTCATCATTATTATGACTAAAACAACATTGTTTTTACATTAGAAAGGTGTTTTCTCATCCACATCTGTTCACGGTTTGTAATGCTCACTTTGGAGTGAATATTTGGTGCCACAGAAAGCCAGACTGTAGCCTAGGTCTCACTCGGAAATGTGTGGAAGTAACCAAGCAACAACAGTGAAACAAGCTGTGAACATAGCAATATTATTATGTAAAAGAATGAAGCAGAAACAAGGAGTCTCTTACTGTAGCTTTACTATATTGCTTTTGATCAAGTACTGGTGATTTTGAATAGTTTTCATTTATCTTTGGCAACTTTGATGATTAGTGTTTGTTTTCATGATGCTGGGGCTTTTATTCAATTACATATTAATTCTGATGTAAAAGTGTCTGGGTCTTGCAACGAGAAACTGTTGAGTCTTTTCTTCTTCTGTTGAGTTTTAGAAGAAAACAACACGCTGTCTATACCAGATGGCAAGATTTTTTGTGCACGTCGCAATAGATACGGACTTAGTACTGTAGGTCGGCTCCAAACAAATCGAAAGAGGCGTAAAGTTACTGCATGTTTCAGATGTTCCCTTCAAATGTTGCTGTCTAGAGTCTTGAGCTGCTCCCCTCTGCGTTTTTCTACAGCCAGATAGGCGAAAGCTTTCTGCTAACTCTTTGTGAACTTCCAGGCCTGCAGATTTTCTGCATCCTCTTGCACCCCAAGGGTGGAACATTCATTCTGGACTTTTGCTCGCTGCTCGATGCAAGCGGGAAACATCTTCCTTCCAGCAATATATAATTACTTCCAATTATAGTGAAATTAGCCAGCAACACTTCTTGTAACAGTTGAGGAGTTTTGAGCAACTTGCCTCGATTAAAAAAAAATCCACTATATTAATTCCCTCTAATATCGGGTATTTGTTTTAATTTAACATTATAAAATTTAAAATGTGAGCATTTATTTAAAAAATGTTGCTAATATTAATAAAGTAGCTGAAGAACATTGGATAAAGAAAAGTGCAGTGATTAAGCAAAAATACAACCCATAAAGTAATTATTTGAACAGAAAAATAAAGGATTCCTAATGGCAAAAATATATTGAGATGTCAGGTAATAAAGCTTAAATTCCAGTTGTGTCAGTGGTTCCTAAGAACACAGTTGAGGTTGTGAAGCTCATTCTTCACCCCAGCTCACTCACTAAGACCTATCCCATGTCGTCTTTGGTCACTCAAACTTATTTCTGATCCCTAGTTTCTACTTACTGTCATGACACCCAAAAAATCTCCAGCCCTCCTTCAGTCCACATTGTACGTGGATCCTTTCGTCACTGCAGCAGAAACTGATCTTACAAATGCCCACTGAAACAAAGGCAGAGATAACTTGGACATTTTTAAGCAGCTGGAGATCAGGGTGAGTTTACGGGCTGTTTTATTGTTTTCGATGGCTTGGGCAAAATTCTCAAGGCCCTGCTAATGTTGGAAGTTATTCAGGATTATTCATGCTTGGCTTGAGAATGTTGTGTTGTTGTGCTGAGTGTGTCTTACATGAATAGTCATTATTTTTGCAGGGCTAGACTGGCATTAAAAATCGGGCATGGACTTTGGTGTCCCTCATGGTAAATTTTACTCAGCGGGGTTGGGGGGGATCCACCACAATAAACTTTGCCAACTGATAAATTTTGCTGGCCCACTGGGAAATTGGTCGGTATGCCAGATGGCCAGTCCGTTGCTGTAACTTTGTATAATTAACCGTAATGTGTTGTGGCTAAGAATGCTAAAAGGCTACTCTCTGTTTTCTTCTTGGTTTGACAATGTAGAAGAAGGTAGAACTTCAGTAGAAATTCTCATTGTTGACATTCAGATTGATCAATATTATCTTACCTCACGCAAAGCACAACTACCTAACTAAACAATCTTATAGGCAAGGGAAGCTGTTTTAGCTCTTAGATGTCCCAGTTGTCTCCTTCACATAGGTTATCTCAGTGTTTAATAATGATTACGTGTTTTCTTTGAGACCCACAGATCACTTGTATATCAGTGTTTGCTGATATTACCCAGGTGTGAATTGCATGGATTCATCTTCTATATTTGGCAAATGTTCAGCACACCGAAGATGCCAGTTACCGGAGCTACACGGCTTGTATCAGACCAAGCAAGGAAAATAAAAATTAAGCTATTAAAGCTACTGAATCCTAATATCACTTATATCAATAAAATATGTATAGTCTAAATATATTTATGCGGTGACAAGAATTGTTATCATGTCTCAGCTCTAAGTCAAAATATGCCATTTATCATCAACTGATTAATTATGTAGCATAAAGCTAATGTAGTGGGCGACATGGTACCTCAGTGTGTGATTCTGTTATCTCTCATTTCCTTGTTTGGGATTTGAATCCTGCCTCCGGTTGGTGCATGTTTGAGGAGTTTTGCGACGTCTCTCTGTGTCATAGTTCAAAGACATGCGGCTGGGCTGATGGTTGTGCCTAAGTTGGGCGTGGAATGTGACACTGGCATCCCATCCAGGGTGCACTCTAGCCATTAGCTTCCTATGATGGTCTTCAGCCCCCCCATGCATTTGTAAGGTGGATGGATGGATGACTGGATGGATGATGGATGGACGGTGCTAATATTGAATGTCGTTCTACCTCATGTCTACAGTGACGCTAAAGGCATTCTATTCTATGGTATTTCATTTGACTTCCATAATTCTGGGAAAGCCTTGAATACTGGTTTCCTCCTTTGAGATTTTAATTAGTACCGTAGCTCCTTATCTAAAAGGAAGAAGTATTTTCTTCTGTTTTCTATATGTACTGCATTAGCTTTAACTAAGCAGCTACGAATGCCTATGTAATCATCTGCATTTTTAGCTGGTTGTAAAAAGTCACCTCTTGCTTTGAGTCCCCTGGTTTCTGTTAAACATAGTCTGTTTATTTCCATATACTATTGATCGCTTAGCTATTATTTACATTCTAAACCAATTTCTAACGCATAGCTAAATTTTGCAAATGCGGTCATTTGAGGCAGAATGATGTGTCATTGGATATTTTGTTTCAGAATGAAATATCATTTCTTGCCTTGGGTCCCTTGGATGCAGCTGTTTATTGACATTTACTATTGACATCTTAGTTTTTAGTTACATTCTAAGGTTATTTCAAACATGTAGCTAAATTTTGCAAATGTGATCATTTGAGGCCTAATGATATGTCGTGGGATATCAGGTATCTTTCTGCGTTATGGACATCCTTTTCGACTGTACGGCACCTAGCGGCTTAAAAATCTGCGCTCATTATCTATTATTAAAAATGTTATAATGATTGGGTTCTTTATGTCAATACCTGTTTTTATATACTTCTGACAACAGGCTGAAAATGGATATTTCCAGACAAAAATCAATACATTTGATATGCAGCTATTTCTGTTTCTGTTTATTAATGTCTTCTTCCAAAGCTTCGCATTGTTTTTGGGTCAGAATGGAAATGAAAAAAGATTCCAGCCACTTTTAAGGTCTTGGGTTGACTGGGGTGAAATTTTAATACAGACTCCTCTAAACTCAGTTCTGTCCATCTTGCAGCTGAACATTTTAATTGCTCTCTAGTGAATATAGAATCCATTTAACCTTTCTATGAGTATTGCTTACCTGTCATTCGAAGGCAGACATCACAACTTTCATTCTTGGCTTCAGTAATGAAACTTTCTCCCTGAGAGATGAAGACATGTTATTGCTCATCTGTAGTTTCTAACATTTGACATTTCCCCAAAACACAGCTATATCTCTGTCGTAGAAAGAAGTTTCTCACTCGGTTTTGATCAAAATTAGGAGCTAATGAAGAACGTTGTAACATTTCAGGGCAGACAATTATCCCATTAACAAATAGCAGGCAGTCGTGTCAGAAACCATCATAGCAAGTTATGTGGCAGAATATTTTTCTGCTCCGATTCTGCAAGAGGTAGA